CTGGGTGGGTGTTGCCCATTGGCTGGGTGTGGCCCATTGGCTGGGCGTGGCCGATTGCGTAGGTGTGGCTGTGGTAGTAATGGCAGACTGGGTGTGACTAAAAAGTTCAATCAATGAATTCTAACTTTGCAAGATTATTTTTTCTCATGAGAATTTGAAATTGACTGATTGATTGAAACTTTTTTATTTTTGCACACAGCAGCAGAAGCCTAAAGCAAAAAGGTTTTATAAAACCCAGCTGAAGGCCTAGGACAGGGACGACAGTGCACAGGCCCACAGAAAGGGCTCTAAGTGTTGCCTCTGTCACCTATGCCATAGGTTCGCCACCGTTGCGTTATACCATTCCAGACAAATGATTGTACAGTCTGTTCTTAGAAAAGGAGGATGAGGGGGAGGGGGAGGATGAGGAGGATAAAAGAGTTGGAAGGGACCTTGTAAATCTTGTACTCCAACCCCCCATTCAAGGAGGAGACCGTATTTCATTTCATACAAAGGTTGTCCAATCACTTCTTAAAAATCTCCAGCATTGGAACATCCACAACCTCTGGAGGCAAGTTGTTCCATTGATTAATTGTTCTCACTGTCAGGAAATTTCTCCTTGCACTCACCAAAAAGCTGAGAATGTTAATAAAATAATGTATCATTGATGATTGGCACCAGAAAAAAATGTCTGCATATTTTAAATCTTTGCTGGAAATGAACCATTTTCTTAGGATTGGAATGTGAATTACAAAATGCACATAGAAGTGATGCTCACACAAATGTATTAGTCAATGCCCTGAGGAGCTGTTTTATCCCAATAAATATGTAAATCAGGACACCATTCCCCCTTTAAAGGACCCCCATAGATTCCCTTTTCAGACAACTCCCACCAACATAAACCTTGTGCTATTTCCAGAATCCTCTCTTGACAAGTCCCTCCACTCATTAGAGTGAGCAAAATGTGGCGAAACATTCTCTTCATACTACTAGTCCTCAAAGGTAATTATTTCCCCCATATAGTTCCATGTTCTGCTCCTCTATGCAGGTGATCTCATTAAAAAAAATGAAATAAAATAACTTTTTCTTCTTAGGAGTGCAGTCTCAGGGACAGTTGGTGGAATCTGGAGGGGATGTGAGAAGACCTGGAGGGTCCCTCCGTCTCTCCTGCCAAGGTTCTGGATACAACTTTGGTGGCTACAGCTTGAGCTGGGTGAGACAGGCTCCAGGGAAAGGACTGGAATGGATTGCACGCATCTATCATGATTCCAGTGGAAAGTTCTCCTCCGAGAAAGTGAATGGACGCTTCACCATCTCCAGGGACAATGCCAAAAGCCAGCTGTATCTGCAGATGAGCAGCCTCAAAGCTGAAGACACAGCAGTCTATTACTGTGCGAGAGACACAGTGAGAGGAAGTGAATCTGAAGACAGACAAGAACCTTCCTTTCTTCAGAGCAGCTCTTCAAGTTGACTGGATTAGTCAATGAGGATTGATCTTTCTCTAGAGAGAATTTCAGAATATTTTATTCTGGGTATCAGAGAGTTTGCCGTAAGAAAATGTAGGATGATGAAAATGGCTTAAAAATTCCCATTTCATCTTCCCTGTTTACAATGTGATCTATCTTGAGGGAAAAAAATACAAGGAATGGAATATTGTCCTTTAATATCACAGCAGAAGTCTGGAAATTAGTGTCATGGTGAACCTCCTAAATATCCAAACTGCCATTCACATATGGAGGAAACACCTGCACTAAAAAAAAAAAAAAAAATCCTTGGAGAATTAGGAACATGCTTCCCCTCCTCATTTTTGACAATGGGGGGCAATGTTGCTACATGAAATCCCATTGTGTGTGCAGGGGTGAGCTAGGGTGTAAAAAAACCTGTAATTAGATATTTTGGAGGCCAGTTACGTTTTTATTTTATTTCTGTAATAATTCTCTGAAAATATCTCAAGAAAATTTCATGTCTCAGGATGGTACAGTGTGCACTGCGAAGCTGAGAATTTTCATCAAATAATATATTGTTGGTTTTGTCACCAGAGAAACTTAAACCTTTCAAACCCTTGCTGAAAATTAAAACAAAATGAAATGGGTTATATTATCACATTCATTGAACATTTAAACAGTTAAAACATTATGGAGGTCAATACATACACCAACCCAGAAAATTTTACAGTTTCTCTTAATGGATCTCAAAATAATTTAATTTCTCAAGGCACTACAATCCTTGCTGGGTAGCCCTATCTGGCTTTATGACAGAAAACCTAGAGCAAACAAAATGTTTTGAATAATACAAAGAGAATTATTTATCATTTTGCTTCAAATAAGAGGGTGTATTTGGTCACAATGTGACTTAAATTTGATTTTGTGAGTTGAGTGGCCCAACTATTCTAATGAACCAATGTTCCTTGAAGTTTAGCTGCCATTTATTTTCCATAAAACAAAGGAAGTGTAAGGAGGCTATCTTGTAGTCTGATGTGCTAGCCTTTTTATATCTTCTCTAATAAGTAAATTAGTTTCATCTCTATTACCTTGAATCATTTTGAGAAGGGCTGAAATTTTTCAGTCTTTTCTGTTAGTTAATGTGCAGCATTCCTATTAATTCACCCAAAAAATGGTCCCAACCCTTTTCTTAGGACTAGAATATTAATTACAAAATGCACATGGAAATGATATTTGCAGAAGTGTGCTTGTCAATGCGCTGAAAGGCTCTTTTATCCCAACAGATATGTAAATCGAGGCACCATTTCCCCTTTAAAGGAGCCCCATGCTTTCCCTTTTAAGACAACACCCAGAAGCATAAACCTTGTGATATTTCCCAAATCTTCTCCTATCGCTTCCCTCCATTCTTTAGAGCAATCAAAAATGTTACTAAATCTTGTGTCCTTACTAGTAATCCTCAAAGGTAATGATTTCCACTATATGTTTTATTTCCAAATTCTGTTCTTAGATGCAGGAGATCTCATTAAAAAAAATATTCCTTTTAGGAGTCCAGTCTCAAGTCCAGCTGGTGGAGTCTGGAGGGGACCTCAGAAGACCTGGAGGGTCCCCCCGTCTCTCCTGCCAAGCCTCTGGATTCACCTTCAGCAGCTATTGGATGGATTGGGTGAGACAGGCTCCTGGAAAAGGACTGGAATGGGTGGCATACATAAGCTCTGGTTCTAGCACTGTTTATTACTCAGACAAAGTGAAGGGTCGCTTCACCATCTCCAGGGACAATGCCAAAAGCCAGCTGTATCTGCAAATGAACAGCCTCAAAGCTGAAGACACAAGCAATCTATTACTGTGCAAGACACACAGTGAGAGGAAGTGAATCTGAAGCCAAACAAGAACCTTCTTTCTTCAGAGCAGCTCTTCAATTTGACTAGATTAGTCAATGAGGATTGATCTCTGGCTAGAGAGAACTTCAGAGATAGCTACCCATTAGCACCCAAAGGAAACACTTTATACATCAGAATTAGTCCAAACCCTGAAACAAGTGGGCAACCTCCTTTGGAAAAAGAATTTTTACAATTAAATATTACAAAGGAAACCCAGACCCATAAACCTGGCATCACAGATGTAGATGCACCCAGGAAGGATGGGGGACACTTCAGGAAAAGAACCATTTAAGGGATAAGCCAAACCAAATTTTAAAGTCCAAAGAAAAGTTTTTTGTTTTTTTTCCCCCTGTCTCTCATTCTTCCTTCCCCGCCCTGAGCAATTCTGGGCAAACTGCAAACTAAAAGAAACATGTGTCTTAGAAAAGAATTAAACCCATCAACCTCACTAGGTAGACCTTTTCTAACACTAACAAGACAGACATAAACCATACAGAGAAACACATTTGCATGAACAAAAAAATACTTCCCAAGGACAATATTAATCGCTACTGGTCCATGCAGACACAAACTAGATGGAATTAAATGAACATTTTTTTTCAAAAGCCAAATCATAATCTCAATAACTTGAGAGGTATAAGAACAGGACTCCTCATGTTGGGAAACTACTAGCTAGTCCAGAAACCATCCCTTTACCATTATTCCATCTGGTTTCTGTAAATAAATCTATTTTCTGGCAGCTTGTTTCATTCATCAGAGAGTTTGCTGTAAGAAAATATAGGATGATGAAAATGGCTTGAAAATCTGTTTCATCTTTCCTGTTTACAAGGTGATTTATGTTCTGGAAAAAAGATGGAATGGAATATTGTTCTTTAATATCATGGCAGAAGCCTGGAAATGAAACTTCAGGGTGAACTTTCTAAATATCCAAACTGCCATTCTCATATTGAGGAAACACCTGCACAAATAATCCTTGGAGAATTAGGAACATGCTTCCCCTCCTCATTTATGACACTAGGGGGCAATGTTGTAACATAAAATCCCACTGTGGATGCCTGTGGTGGGGTCAGAGATAACTACCCATTAGCACCCAAAGGAAACACTTGAGGCATCAGAATTAGTCCAAACCCTGAAACAAGTTGGCAATTTCCTTTGGAAAAAGAAATTTTACAATTAAATATTACAAAGGAAACCCAGACCGATAAACCTGGTTTATGAGAGATAACCTAAAGCGAAGAAAATACATATATTTTGGATAATACAAAGATAATTATTTATCTTTTTTTTTTAAAATAAGGGTTTGTATTTGGTCACAATATGATTTAAGTTTGACTTTGTGAGTTGAGCTAACTAGCCTAGCTGAAACAGTATTCCTTGCAGGTCAGCTGCCATTTAATGTATTTGGGATTTTTCCATAAAATAAATAAATAAGAGAGTTCATAGGGTGTATTTTTCAGGCTTTTCTTTTATTTAATAGACAATAAATTTGCCCTTCCACCTAATAATTCACAGAAAAATAAATGGCTCCCAATCCTTTTCTTAGGGGTGCAATGTTAATTACAAAATGCACATGCAAGTGATGTCCACAGAAGTGTGTTTGTCAAGGGCTCTTTTATCCCAACAGATATGTAAATCGAGGCACCATTTCCCCTTTAAAGGAGCCCCATGGTTTCCCTCTGCAGAAAACACCCAGGAACACAAACCTTGTGCAATTTTCTCTCTTGTCTCTTGTCATTTCCCTCCATTCATTCAGTGAAAATGTGGCTCAATCTTTTGTCCTTACTAGTAGTCCCCAAAGGTAATTATTTCCCCCATATACAGTTTATTTTCATGTTCTGCTCCTCTAAGCAGGAGATCTCATTTACAAATATATATATATATTCTTTTTAGGAGTCCAGTCTCAAGTCCAATCTCAGTTGGTGGAGTCTGGAGGGGATGTGAGAAGACCTGGAGGGTCCCTCCGTCTCTCCTGCCAAGCCTCTGGATTTGATTTCAGCAGCTATGACATGAACTGGGTGAGACAGGCTCCAGGGAAAGGCCTGGAATGGGTGGCATTCATAAGCACTGCTTCAGGTACTATTTACTACTCAGACAAAGTGAAGGGCCGCTTCATCATCTCCAGGGACAATGCCAAAAGCCAGCTGTATCTGCAGATGAGCAGCCTCAAAGCTGAAGACACAGCAGTCTATTACTGTACGAGAGACACAGTGAGAGGAAGTGAATCTGAAGCCAAACAAGAACCTTCCTTTTTTCAGAGCAGTTCTTCAACTTGACTGAGTCCCACATCCTGGATTAGTCAATGAAGATTGATTGATTTCTAATGAGTACTTCAGGATATTTTATTCTGGGTTTCAAAAAGTGTGTTGTAAGAAAAAAATAAAAAATTAAATCCAAGTACCCTGTCCCTATTTACAAGGTGATTTGGTTTCATTGGAACAGAATATAGTCTTTTAGTATCATGGTGGAAGGATGGAAATGGAACTTTAGGATAATCCTAAATATTCAAACGGCCAAACACACATTGGAGAAATATGCGCTCTGAATGAAACTCCTTAGAAAATGAGGTTGATGTGTCCTCTCCTCAGTTTTGATTCTGGAGGCAATGTTGTCTCAAACTCCAAATGTCTACGCATCTGGAAGAGGTTTTTTCGGGAATAAAATATGTATAATTGCATATTTTCTTATTTTGGAAGTGTCTAGTCCATCCCCCTGCTCAAGCAGCAGACCTTATACCAGTGATGGCAAACCTTTTAGAGACTGAGTGCCCAAACTGCAACCCAAAACCCACTTATGCATCGTCGGGTGCTGCGTGGGTGTGGACCATTGGCTGGGTGTGGCTGTGGTAGTAATGGCAGACTGGGTGGGACTAAAAAGTTCAATCAATCAATTCTAACTTTGCAAGATTTTTTTTCCCATGAGAAATTGAAATTGACTGATTGATTGAACCTTTTTTTTTTTTTTTTTTGCCCACAGTAGCGGAGGCCTAAAGCGAAAAGGTATTATAAAACCCAGCTGAAGGCCTAGGACAGGGGCAATGGTGCACATGCCCACAGATAGGGCTCGAAGTGCCGCCTCTGTCACCCATGCCATAGGTTCGCCACCATTGCCTTATACCATTCCAGACAAATGGTTGTACAGTCTCTTCTTTAAAAAGTATGAGGAGCGGGGAGGGGGGAGGATGAGGAGGATAACAGAGTTGGAAGGGACCTTGTAAATCTTCTAGTCCAACCCCCCCCCCCGTTCAAGAAGGAGACCGTATTCCATTTCACACAAAGGGTTGTCCAATCACTTCTTAAAAACCTCCAGTGTTGGAACATCCACAACTTCTGGAGGCAAGTTGTTCCATTGATTAATTGAAAAACACAAATGGAAGTTCCCTGAAATGTATTAGCAAACTGTCCCTTTCTCCTAACCCACAGAGGGAAAAAAATGGGTCTGAACCATTTTCTTAGGATTGGAATGTTAATTACAAAATGCACATAGAAGTGATGCTCACACAAATGTATTAGTCAATGCCCTGAGGAGCTCTTTTATCCCAACAGATATGTAAATCAAGACACAATTTCCCCTTTAAAGGAGCCCCATAGTTTCCCATTTCAGACAAATTCCACCAAGATATGCAATTTCCTGCATTTTCCCATGTCAATTCCCTCCATTCATTAGAGTGAGCAAAAATGTGGCTAAACCTTGCGTCCTTGCTAGTAGTCCTCAAAGGTAATTATTTTCACTACGTAAAAGTTATTTCCATGTTCTGCTCTTGTATGCAGGAGATCTCATTAAAAAAAAAAAAGGAGTCCAGTCTCAAGTCCGGTTTTTGGAGTATGGAGGGGATGTGAGAAGGCCTGGAGGGTCCCTCCATCTCTCCTGCCAAGGATCTAGATCAGTGGTTCTCAACCTTTTTAATGCCGCGACCCCCAACCGGTCGTAAGTTGAGGAATACTCAACCAGTCGTAAGTCGAGGACTACTCAACTGGTGCAGCAATGTTTGCAGAATGGGACTTTTGGCGGGCTCAGCAGGGCAGAGACAGCCTGGACAATTCCTATTGGCTTTTGAAAGCCAATAGAATTAGAATTTATTCAAGAGAGTCTATTCTATTGGCTTTCAAAAGCCAATAGAATAAAAGGGAGTAGCACAGCTAAGGAAAAGGGGGGAAAAATGGTGGACTGCGTTGTTTGGCGACCCCCGTGAAATAGTCGTTCGACCCCAAATGGGGTCCCGACCCACAGGTTGAGAACCACTGATCTAGATTTACCTTCAGCAATCATAACAAGCACTGGTTGAGACAAACTCCAGGAAAAGGACTGGAATGGGTTGCAGGCACGAGTACATCTAGCATTTACTAATCAGACAAAGTGAAGGGATGCTTCGCCATCTCCAGGGAAAATTCCAAAAGCTAGCTGTATCTGCAAATGAACAGCCTCAAACCAGAGGACACAACAGTCTACTACTGTATGAGAGACACAGTGAGAGGAAGTGAATCTGAAGCCAAAGAAGAATCTTCCTTTCTTCAGAGCAGTTCTTCAACTTGACAGAGCCACAAACCATGGATTAGTCAATGAGGATTGATCGATGTCTAGTGAGAACTTCAGGATGTTTCCTTCTGGGTATCAGACAGTTTTCTGTAAGAAAATGTAAGATGATGAAAGTGGCTTGAAAAGTCCAGTTTCATCTTTATAAGGTGATCTATCTTCAGAAAAAAAATGGAATGGAATATTGACCTTTAGAATCACGGTAGAAGTCTGGAAAAGAAACATCAGAGTAACCTTCCACACATCCAAACTGCAATTCATGTATTGACGAAACATCTGGACCCAAAGAATCTCCTTGGAGAATTAAGAACAAGCTTCCCCTCCAAATTTTTGACATTGGGGGGAAATGTTGCTACATGAAATCCCATTTTCTATGCCCCTGGTGGTGGTGGGGAAGGGAATAAAACAAATGTCATTATATAGTGTCTCATTTTGGAGGCCAGATACCTTTTTTATTTGATTTCTGTAAATAAAAGTTCTCAAGAAAATTTTACAACACAGAAGGCTTCAATATGAAACTGAGAAATGTTATTAAAAACAGAGTTTGGGTTTTTGATCCCAGAAAATTTATCTAGGTATTTCAAATCTTTTCTGGAAATGGAAAGCACATGAAAGGATTATATTATCACACTCAGTGAACATATAAAACACTTAAAACAATATAGATACTAATATATACACCAAACAAGAAGATTTCAAAATTTTCCTCAATGGAACTCAAAAGTACTTGCATCACTTTGAGAAACGTTGAAATTTTAAAAGACTTTGTTTTATTGAATATTCAGTAAACTCATAAGAAAAACAACGAGTCCCTACTTTTTTCTTAGGGTTTGATTATTAATTGAAAAACACGCATGGAAAGTATGTTCACCAAAATGTGTTAGTCAATGTCATATGAAGCTCTTTTATCCCAACAGATATGTAAATCAAGACACAATTTCTCCTTCAAAGGAGCCCCATAGTTTCCCTTTTCAGACAACTCCCATCAACATAAACCTTGTGCTAGTTGCCAAATCCTTCGAGTGAGCAAAAATGTGGCTAAACATTGTGTCCTTATTAGTAATCCTCAAAGGTAATTGTTTTCCCCTACATAGAGTTTATTACCATGTTCTATTCCTCTATGCAGGAGATCTCATTAAAAAAAAAAACTTTCTTTTTAGGAGTCCAGTCTCAAGTCCAGTTGGTGGAGTCTGGAGGAGATCTGCAAACACCTGGAGGGTCCCTCCGTCTCTCCTGCCAAGCCTCTGGATTCCCTTTCAGCAGCTTTAGCATGAGCTGGGGGAGACAGTTTCCAGAGAAAGGACTGGAATGGGTTGCACACATGGGTTCATCTATCACTTACTACTCAGACAAAGTGAAGGGACGCTTCACCATCTCCAGGGATGATGCCAAAAGCCAGCTGTATCTGCAAATGAACAGCCTCACAGCTGAAGACACAGCCGTCTATTATTGTGCAAGAGGCACAGTGAGAGGAAGTGAATCTGAAGCCAAACAAGAACCTTCTTTTCTTCAGAGCAGTTCTTCAACTTGACTGAGTCCCAAATCCTGGATTAGTCAATGAACATTGATTGATTTCTAAAGAGAACTTCAGGATGTTTTATTCTGGGTTTCAAAAAGTATGTTGTAAGAAAACAACAACAACAACAACAAAAAAAAAAAAAATCCAAGTACCCTGTCCCTATTTACAAGATGATTTGGCTTCATTGGAAGGGAATGTAATCTTTTAGTATCATGGTGGAAGGATGGAAATGGAACTTTAGGACTCCTGTGAGTCCCTTGGACTGCAAGGCATTCAAACTGGTCAGTCCTAGAAGATATCAACTCCGACTGCTCTTTAGAAGCCCAGATCCTGAAGTTGAAACTTAAATACTTTGGCCACCTAATGAGAAGGAAGGACTCACTGGAGAAGGATCTAATGGTGGGAAAGACTGAGGGCAATAGAAGAATGGGACAACAGAGAATGAGATGGCTGGATGGAGTCACTGAAGCAGTAGGTGTGAACTTAAATGAACTCCAGAAGATGGTAGAGGACAGGAAGACCTGGAGGAACATTGTCCATGGGGTCGCGATGGGTCGGACACGACTTCGCAATTAACAACAACAACAAAATATTCAAACTGCCAAACACACATTGGGGAAATATGCACTCTCAATGAAACTCCTTAGAAAATGAGGTTGATGTGTCCTTTCCTCAGTTTTAATTCTGGAGGCAATATTGTCTCAAAATCCAAACTGTCTACACATCTGGAAGAGGTATTTTCGGGAATAAAATATGTATAATTGTATATTTTCTTATTTTGGAATTGTCTAGTCCATCCCTCTGCTCAAGCAGCAGACCTTATACCAGTGATGGCGAACCTTTTAGAGACTGAGTGCCCAAACTGTAACCCAAAACCCACTGATGCATCTTTGGGTGCTGGGTGGGTGTGGCCCATTGGCTGGGTGTGGCCCATTGGCTGGGCGTGGCCAGTTGGGTGGGTGTGGCTGTGGTAGTAATGGCAGACTGGGTGTGACTAAAAAGTTCAATCAATGAATTCTAACTTTGCAAGATTATTTTTTCTCATGAGAAGTTGAAATTGACTGATTGATTGAAACTTTTTTATTTTTGCACACAGCAGCAGAGGCCTAAAGCAAAAAGGTTTTATAAAACCCAGCTGAAGGCCTAGGACAGGGATGACAGTGCACAGGCCCACAGAAAGGGCTCTAAGTGTTGCCTCTGTCACCTGTGCCATAGGTTCGCCACCATTGCGTTATACCATTCCAGACAAATGGTTGTATAGTCTGTTCTTAGAAAAGGAGGAGGAGGGGGGAGGGGGAGGATGAGGAGGATAAAAGAGTTGGAAGGGACCTTGTACTCCAACCCCCCATTCAAGGAGGAGACCGTATTCCATTTCATACAAAGGTTGTCCAATCACTTCTTCAAAATCTCCAGCATTGGAACATCCACAAACTCTGGAGGCAAGTTGTTCCATTGATTAATTGTTCTCGCTGTCAGGAAATTTCTCCTTACACTCACCAAAAAGCTGAGAATGTTAATAAAATAATGTATCATTGATGATTGGCACCAGAAAAAAATGTCTGCATATTTTAAATCTTTGCTGGAAATGAACCATTTTCTTAGGATTGGAATGTGAATTACAAAATGCACATAGAAGTGATGCTCACACAAATGTATTAGTCAATGCCCTGAGGGGCTCTTTTATCCCAATAAATATGTAAATCAGGACACAATTTCCCCTTTAAAGGAGCCCCATAGATTTCCTTTTCAGACAACTCCCATCAACATAAATCTTGTGCTATTTCCAGAATCCTCTCTTGACAATTCCCTCCACTCATTAGAGTGAGCAAAATGTGGCGAAACATTCTCTTCATACTACTAGTCCTCAAAGGTAATTATTTCCCCCATATAGTTCCACGTTCTGCTCCTGTATGCAGGTGATCTCATTAAAAAAATGAAATAAAATAACTTTTTCTTCTTAGGAGTGCAGTCTCAGGGACAGTTGGTAGAATCTGGAGGGGATGTGAGAAGACATGGAGGGTCCCTCCGTCTCTCCTGCCAAGGTTCTGGATACAACTTTGGTGGCTACAGCTTGAGCTGGGTGAGACAGGCTCCAGGGAAAGGACTGGAATGGATTGCACGCATCTATCATGATTCCAGTGGAAAGTTCTCCTCCGACAAAGTGAAGGGCCGCTTCACTATCTCCAGGGACAATGCCAAAAGCCAGCTGTATCTGCAGATGAGCAGCCTCAAAGCTGAAGACACTGCAGTCTATTACTGTGCGAGAGACACAGTGAGAGGAAGTGAATCTGAATCCAGACAAGAACCTTCCTTTCTTCAGAGCAGCTCTTCAAGTTGACTGGATTAGTCAATGAGGATTGATCTTTCTCTAGAGAGAATTTCAGAATATTTTATTCTGGGTATCAGAGAGTTTGCCGTAAGAAAATGTAGGATGATGAAAATGGCTTAAAAATTCCCATTTCATCTTCCCTGTTTACAAGGTGATCTATGTTGAGGGAAAAAAAATACAAGGAATGGAATATTGTCCTTTAATATCACAGCAGAAGTCTGGAAATTAGTGTCATGGTGAACCTCCTAAATATCCAAACTGCCATTCACATATGGAGGAAACACCTGCACTAAAAAAAAAAAAAAAAATCCTTGGAGAATTAGGAACATGCTTCCCCTCCTCATTTTTGACAATGGGGGGCAATGTTGCTACATGAAATCCCATTGTGTGTGCAGGGGTGAGGTATGGTGTAAAAAAAACCTGTAATTACATATTTTGGAGGCCAGTTATGTTTTTATTTTATTTCTGTAATAATTCTCTGAAAATATCTCAAGAAAATTTCATGTCTCAAGATGGTACAGTGTGCATTGGGAAGCTGAGAATTTTCATCAAATAATATATTGTTGGTTTTGTCACCAGAGAAACTGTTTAAACATTTCAAACCTTTGCTGAAAATGAAAACAAAATGAAATGGGTTATATTATCATATTCATTGAACGTTTAAACAGTTAAAACATTATGGAGGTGAATACATACACCAACCCAGAAAATTTTACAATTTCTCTTAATGGATCTCAAAATAATTTAATTTCTCAAGGCACTAAAATCCTTGCTGGGTAGCCCTATCTGGCTTTATGACAGAAAACCTAGAGCAAACAAAATGTTTTGGATAATACAAAGAGAATTATTTATCATTTTGCTTCAAATAAGAGGGTGTATTTGGTCACAATGTCACTTCAATTTGATTTTGTGAGTTGAGTGGCCCAACTATTCTAATGATACAATGTTCCTTGAAATTTAGCTGCCATTTATTTTCCATAAAATTTTTTCAGTCTTTTCTGTTAGTTAATGTGCAGCATTCCTATTATCTCACAAAAAAATGGTCCCAACCCTTTTCTTAGGACTAGAATATTAATTACAAAATGCACATGGAAATGATGTTTACAAAGTGTGCTTGTCAATGCGCTGAAGGACTCTTTTATCCCAACAGATATGTAAATCGAGGCACCATTTCCCCTTGAAAGGAGCCCCATGGTTTCCCTTTTAAGACAACACCCAGAAGCATAAACCTTATGATATTTCCCAAATCTTCTCCTATCGCTTCCCTCCATTCATTAGAGCAATCAAAAATGTTACTAAACCTTGTGTCCTTGCTAGTAATCCTCAAAGGTAATGATTTCCACTATATGTTTTATTTCCAAATTCTGTTCTTAGATGCAGGAGATCTCATTAAAAAATCTTCCTTTTAGGAGTGCAGTCTCAAGTGCAGCTGGTGGAGTCTGGAGGGGATGTGAGAAGACCTGGAGGGTCCCTCGGTCTCACCTGCCAAGCCTCTGGATTCACCTTCAGCAGCTATTGGATGGGCTGGGTGAGACAGGCTCCAGGAAAAGGCCTGGAATGGGTTGCAAGCATGGGTACATCTAGCACTTACTACTCAGACAAAGTGAAGGGATGTTTCACCATCTCCAGGGACGATGCCAAAAGCCAGCTGTATCTGCAAATGAACAGCCTCAAAGCTGAAGACACAGCAGTCTATTACTGTGCGAGAGACACAGTGAGGGAAGTGAATCTGAAGCCAGACAAGAACCTTCCTTTCTTCAGAGCAGTTCTTCAATTTGACTAGATTAGTCAATGAGGATTGATCTCTGTCTAGAGAGAACTTCAGAGATAGCTACCCATTAGCACCATTAGCTACCCATTAACACCCAAAGGAAACACTTGAGGCATCAGAATTAGTCCAAACCCTGTAATAAGTGGGGAATCTCCTCTGGAAAAAGAAATTTTAAAATTAAATATTACAAAGGAAACCCAGACCCATAAACCTGGCATCATAGATGTAGATGCACCCAGGAAGGATGGGGGACACCTCAGGAAAAGAACCACTTAAGGGATAAGCCAAACCAAATTTTAAAGTCCAAAGAAAAGGTTTCTTTGTTTTTGTTTTTGTTTTTTCCCCTGTCTCTCATTCTTCCTTCCCCGCCATGAGCAATTCTGGGCAAACTACAAACTAAAAGAAACGTGTCTTAGAAAACAATTAAACCCATCAACCTCACTAGATAGAACTTTTCTAACACTAACAAGACAGACATAAACCATGTAGAGAAACACATTTGCATGAACAAAGAAATACTTCCCAAGGACAGTATTAATCACTACCGGTCCAAACAGACACAAACTAGATGGAATTAAATGAACATTTTTTTTTCAAAAGCCAAATCATAATCTCAATAACTTGAGGGGTATAAGGACAGGACCCCTCACCTTGGGAAAGTACTAGCTACTCCAGAAACCATCCCTGTACCATTACTCCGTCTGGTTTCTGTAAATAAACCTACTTTCTGGCAGCTTTTTTCATTCTGTGTCATTTCTTCCGCCTGAGCTGAAGGTCTGCTTCCCAGCTGGAGACCCAAATCATGGGAAATCTTCCCACAATTCATAAAACAAATGTCATTAGATATTGTCTCATTCTGGAGAACTGATAATTATTATTTTTTAAAAAATATTTTTGTAATAATTCACTGAAAAGTTCTCAAGAAAATTTCACATCTCAGTGGGCTACAGTCTTCACAGTGAAACTGATATACATACATACATACATACATACATACATACATACATACATACATATCTATATATATACACATTGGTGGATTGTTGGTTTTGGCCTCCAGAGAAACTGTCTAGGTATTTCAAATCTTTGTTGGAAATAAAAACAAAATGAAGGGATTATATTATCATATTCAGTTAACATATTAAACAGTTTTGGAGGCCAGGTATTTTTATTATTATTATTTCCTTAATAAATCATTAAAACATTCTGAAGAAAATTGTAGGGTTACTCAGTGTGAAACTGAGAAATTTCATAAAAAGATAGATTTTGTGTTTAAGTCACCAGAAAAACTTATCTAGTTATTTCAAATCTTTGCCTAGAAATGGAAACAAAGTGAAAGGATCACATTGTCATATTCACTGAACATATAAAACAGTTAAAAAAAATACAGATATTAATACATACAGCAATCCAGAAGATTTTAAAGTTTCTTTCAATGGATCTGAAAAGAATTTAATTTCTCAAGACACCAAAATCCTTACTGGAAAGCCCCATCTGGTTTTATGACAGATAATCTAAAGCAAAGAAAAGACATATATTTTGGATAATACAAAGATAATTATTTATCATTCTTTTTCAAATAAGGGGGTGTATTTGGTCATAATATGATTTAAGTTTGACTTTGTGAGTTGAGCTAACTAGTCTAGCTGAAACAGTATTCCTTGCAGTTGAGCTGCCATTTAATGTATACACCATATGTATAAGAGTTCATATGGTGTATTTTTCAGGCTTTTCTTTTATTTAATACACAATCAATTTGCCCTCTAACCTATTAATTCACAGAAAAATAAATGGCTCCCAATCCTTTTCTTAGGGGTGCAATGTTAATTACAAAATGCACATGCAAGTGATGTTCACAGAAGTGTGTTTGTCAAGGGCTCTTTTATCCCAACAGATATGTAAATCGAGGCACCATTTCCCCTTTAAAGGAGCCCCATGGTTTCCCTCTTCAGAAAACACCCAGGAACACAAACCTTGTGCAATTTTCTCTCTTGTCTCTTGTCAATTCCCTCCATTCATTCAGTGAAAATGTGGCTCAACCTTGTGTCCTTACTAGTAGTCCTCAAAGGTAATTATTTCCCCCATGTACAGTTTATTTCCATGTTCTGCTCCTCTAAGCAGGAGATCTCATTTTAAAAAAAAAAATATTTCTTTTTAGGAGTCCATTCTCAAGTCCAGCTGGTGGAGTCTGGAGGGGATGTGAGAAGACCTGGAGGGTCCCTCCGTCTCTCCTGCCAAACCTCTGGATTCACCCTAAGTAGCTATGAAATGCACTGGGTGAGACAGTCTCCTGGAAAAGGACTGGAATGGGTGGCATACATAAGCTCCGGTTCTGGTACTATTTACTACTGTGACAAAGTGAAGGGTCGCTTCACCATCTCCAGGGACAATGCCAAAAGCCAGCTGTATCTGCAAATGAACAGCCTCAAAGCTGAAGACACAGCAGTCTATCATTGCATGGCTGACACTGTGAGAGGAAGTAAATCTGAAGCCAGACAAGAACCTTCCTTTCTTCAGAGCAGCTCTTCAACTTGACTAGATTAGTCATTGAGGATTGATCTCTGTCTAGAGAGAACTTCAGAATGGTTTATTTTGGGCATCAGAGAGTTTGCTCTAAGAAAATATAGGATGATGAAAATGGCTTGAAAATCTGCTTCATCTTCCCTGTTTACAAGGTGATTTATGTTCTAGAAAAAAGATGGAATGGAATATTGTTCTTTAATATCATGGCAGAAGCCTGGAAATGAAACCTCAGGGTGAACCTTCTAAATATCCAAACTGCCATTCTCAAATTGAGGAAACACCTAATTCTCCTTGGAGAATTAGGAACATGCTCTCCCTCCTCATTTATGACACTAGGGGGCAATGTTGTAACATAAAATCCCACTGTGGATGCATGTGGTGGGGTCGGAGATAGCTACCCATGAGCACCCAAAGGAAACACTTTAGACATCAAAATTAGTCCAAACCCTGAAACAAGTGGGCAATTTCCTTTGGAAAAAGAAATTTTACAATTAAATATTACAAAGGAAATCCAGACCCATAAACCTGGCATCCCAGATGTAGATGCACCCAGGAAGGATGGGGTACCTCAGGAAAAGAACCATTTAAGAGATAAGCCAAACCAAACTTTAAAGTCGAAAGAAAAGTTTTTTGTTTTTTTTTTCCCTGTCTCTCATTCTTCCTTCCCTGTCGTGACCAATTCTGGGCAAACTGTCAAACTAAAAGAAACACGTGTCTTAGAAAACAATTAAACCCATCAACCTCACTAGGTAAAACTTTTGTAACACTAACAAGACAGACATAAACCATATAGAGAAACACATTTGCATGAACAAAGAAATATTTCCCAAGGACAATATTAATCGCTACTGGTCCATGCAGACACAAACTAGATGGAATTAAAAGAACCTTTTTTTTTCAAAAGCCAAATCATAATCTCAATAACTTGAGGAGTATAAGAAGAGGACCCCTCACCTTGGGAAACTACTAGCTAGTCCAGAAACCATCCCTGTACCATTACTCCGTCTGGTTTCTGTAAACAAACCTACTTTCTGGCATTCTGTATCATTTCTTCCGCCTGAGCCGAAGGTCTGCTTCCCAGCTGGAGACCCAAATCAAGGGAAATCTTCCCACAATTCATAAAACAAATGTCATTAGATATTGTCTAATTCTGGAGGACTGATAATAATTATTTTTAAAAAAAAATATTTTTGTATTAATTCACTGAAAAGTTCTCAAGAAAATTTAACATCTCAGTGGGCTACAGTCTTCACAGTGAGCCTGATATATATATTTGTAGGTCTTTGGTTATTCGGGTTTTCTCCAGCGTAAAATTGGAAGTTTCTTGGCAACATTTCGACGAAGCCCCATTCGTCATCTGCAGGACTTCATCGAAACGTTGCCAAGACACTTCCAATTTTGCATAGGAGAAAATCCAAATAACCAAAGACCTACAAACAAACACCCGCAAAAATCTCAGAAAACAAATATATATAATGGTGGGTTGTTGGTTTTGGTCGCCAGAGAAACTGTCTAGGTCTTTCAAATCTTTGTTGGAAATAAAAACAAGATGAAGGAATCATATTATCATATTTAGTGAACATATAAAACAGTTTTGGAGATCGGATATTTTTATTTTATTCTATTTCTGTAATAATTCCTTGAAACATGATCAAGAAAATTGTAGGAGTACTCAGTGTGTAACTGAGAAATTTTATTAAAAGATTTTGCATTTAAGCCACCAGAAAAAACTTATCTAGGTATTTCAAACCTTGGACTGGAAGTGGAAACAAAGTGAAAGGATCATGTTATCATATTTAGTTATCATATAAAACAGTTAAAAAACTACAGATACTAATACATTTTGTGTATTTTTCAGGTTTTTCTTTTATTTAATACACAATAAATTTGCTCTTCCACCTGTTAATTCACAGAAATATAAATGGCTCCCAATCCTTTTCTTAGGGGTGCAATGTTAATTACAAAATGCACATGCAAGTGATGCTCACAGAAGTGTGTTTGTCAAGGGCTCTTTTATCCCAACAGATATGTAAATCGAGGCACCATTTCCCCTTTAAAGGAGCCCCATGGTTTCCCTCTTCAGACAACACCCAGGAACATAAACCTTGTGCAATTTTCTCTCTTGTCTCTTGTCAATTCCCTCCATTCATTCAGTGAAAATGTGGCTCAACCTTGTGTCCTTTCTAGTGGTCCTCAAAGGTAATTATTTCCCCCACATACAGTTTATTTCCATGTTCTACTCCTCTAAGCAGGAGATCTCATTTTAAAAAAAATATTTTCTTTTTAGGAGTCCAGTCTCAAGGACAGTTGGTGGAGTCTGGAGGGGATGTGAGAAGACCTGGAGGGTCCCTCTGTCTCTCCTGCCAAGCCTCTGGATTCACCTTCAGCAGCTATTACATGAGCTGGGTGAGACAGGCTCCAGGGAAAGAACTGGAATGGGTGGCTTACATAAGCTCCAGTTCTCGTACTATTTACTACTGTGACAAAGTGAAGGGTCGCTTCACCATCTCCAGAGACAATGCCAAAAGCCAGATATATCTGCAGATGAACAGCCTCAAAGCTGAAGACACAGCAGTCTATTACTGTGCGGGAGACACAATGAGAGGAAGTGAATCTGAAGCCAATCAAAAACTTCTCACAAGAGCAATTTTCCAAATTGTGTCAATTATACAGTAGATGGTTAAGTTTGTCTAATTGAAATGAGAAGCAGTGAGTAAATTTTCATGATACTAGGTAGAAACTGAGAACTGATCTTGGAGTAAGCAGTGTGCCACCTGGGAAAAAAAAGGAGGTCTCTGGATAGTAGAATCAACTGATTAGTTTATAAAAAAGGTTAATTTCAGGTAGTAATATGGAATTATATCCTACAGGTCTTTCTTGATATATTTTGCAGTTCAGGCATCTTTAATTCTTAGTACTGCCAACTCTCCTGAGTTTAGCTACTTTCTCAATGTTGTTCCTTTTTTATTCCTTGTGCATTGATATACACTCAATGCCCTTAATCAGTTGGGCTGAATCAAGGGAGGGAATTGTTGGTAATTTCTAACCTCCCCTTTTGAGATAAAATATTTTGGACTGTATTCCTGTCTTGGTGTAGTTGCTTGGTAGTTTCTTCTACAATCCCACTAACCTCTGGGGGGTGAGTAAAATTGGAATCCCTCATCTACCTTGTTTAATAAGGAATTTAATGTGGAAAACAAATATGGTGCCTTCATCCTTTGTAGTTGTAGTTTTTGCATGTGTCTAAGGAAAATCAATCCCATAATGTCCAGATCACAGAGCTATATACTTACTCAAATGTAAGGGCTTTCATTGACCTCTTAACATCTAGAAGATTTTAAAGGATAAAGAATCATTGAAAGAAGAGACAGACTAATGGACAGTGGAAAAGAAAAGAAAAGAAAAGAGAAAGAAAACAACGAAACGAAACAAAAGAGAACAAAAGAAAAAAGAAAAGAAAAGATCCTGGATCTTTGTTTTTATATGCAATAACTGCAGGGCAACTACAACCAATTCAAAAATGGAAAAATTCAGCACGGACTACAATGGAAGATTGTCTGGGAAGATGATGGAAGTTGCAGAGATGGCTTACTAGCTTATTTGTTTAGGAAAAAGAAAATATATATTCATTGTTGATTGGAAACTATGTTTCTATAAACATTTTTCATAAAACAGAAAAAAAATGCACTCATGATTTGTGATTCTGAAATTAGAAAGAAAATGGATAATAGAGAAAGGTGAACTCTTTTGTAATCATAAAGTATGAGTCACTATGAACATGTACTTATAATTGTGGCAGAAAAAAAGTTTTCGATTTCTTCTGAATCTCCTTCTGCACTCTCTTCTCTTCTCTTCTCTTCTCTTCTCTTCTCTTCTCTTCTCTTCTCTTCTCTTCTCTTCTCTTCCCTTCCCTTCCCTTCCACTCCACTCCACTCCACTCCATTCCATTCCATTCCAGTTCTCTCTCTCTCTCTCTTTTTTTTTTTTCCTGAAACCGAATCACCTTGTAAACAGGGAAGAGGAACTTTGAATGTTTCATTTTCTTACAGCAAAGTCTTTGATACCTAGAAAAAAACATACTGAAGGTCTCCCTAGACAGCGACCTCTTTCTCTCTCTCTGTGTTTCTATAATGTGCCATGAAAATCATGTTTGTAATGTGTGTGCAAAGAAATTTATAGGTGAATGCCCTGAGGGGCTCTTTTATCTGAAACAATATGTAAATCAGGGCACAATTTCTCCTTTCAAGTAGCCAGGTGGTTTCCCGTAACACAAAGTTTGAACTCTTTCCTCAGTCTTTTACTGTCTATTCCCCTGCATTCATTAGAAAGAGCAAAAATGACTCCGTGGCCAAAATTGGTCTTCTTACTAGCAGTCCTTCGAGGTAATGCTTCCCTCTCTAGAATTTCCTTTAATTTGCTGTTCTTATATACAGAGATGTCACTGAAATCCATTTCTTTCTAGGTGTCCAGTCACAGGCCCAGTTGGTGGAGTCTGGAGGGGATGTGAGAAGACCTGGAGGGTCCCTCAGTCTCTCCTGCAAAGCCTCTGGATTCACCTTCAGCAGCTATAACATGGGCTGGGTGAGACAGGCTCCAGGGAAAGGACTGGAATGGGTTGCACGCATGGGTACATCTAGCAATTACTACTCAGACAAAGTGAAGGGACGCTTCACCATCTCCAGGGACAATGCCAAAAGCCAGCTGTACTTGCAAATGAACAATCTAAAAGCTGAAGACACGGCAGTCTATTACTGCTGGGACACAGTGAGAGGAAGTGAATCCAATGCTAAACAAAAACCTCCCTTTCTTCAGAGCAGCTCTGCAACCTGATTCAGCCCAAGATCCTGGATTAGCTAATTAGGATTCACTACCAGATGAGAGGAGATGAGATGGCTGGATTGAGTCACTGAAGCAGTAGGTGTGAACTTAAATGGACTCCAGAAGATGGTAGAGGACAGGAAGACCTGGAGGAACGTTGTCCATGGGGTCGCGATGGGTCGGACACAACTTCACAATTAACAACAACAAGAACCAGATTCTTTTGTTCTGGTTATCCAGTAAGACACTTTGCAAGAGGAAAAGGAGATCTATGAACAACTAGAAGCAAACAAATTTATAACCAGTAGCCAGCATGGGTTTGTTAAAAACGGATCATGCCAAACCGATCTTATTTCATTCTTTGACAAAGTGACGAAATACTGTGGACGTAGTATACTTAGATTTCAGTAAGGCATTTGATAAAGTAGACCACAACCTACTCCTTGATAAGCTAGGAAAAGGTGGAATAGACAACATCACCACCAGATGGATCCGTAGCTGGCTGACAAATCATACTCAATGAGTAGTCCTCAATGGCACTACATCTACATGGAGAGAAGTAAGCAGTGGGGTACCACAAGGTTCTGTCTTAGGCTCAACACTCTTCAATATCTCCATAAATGATTTAGATGAGGGAATTGAAGGGGAACTTTGCAGATGACACCAAACTGACAGGAATAGCCAACACCCCAGAAGAAAAACTTAGGATCCGAAAAGAACTTCACAAACTTGAACAATGGGCCCTATCCAACAAAATGAGTTTCAGTGTAGAGAAAAGCAAAGTTTTACATTTAGGCAGAAAAAAAATCAAATGTACAAGTATAGATTGGGTGAGACCTGGCTCAAAACAGTAACTGTGAGAGGGACCTTGGAGTCCTAGTGGATGATCACTTGACTATGGGTCAGCAGTGTGCAGCAGCAACCAAAAAAGCTAACACAATCCTGGGTTGTATAAACAGAGGCAAAGAACCAAGATCACACAAAGTATTAGTACCGCTTTATAAAACCCTTGTAAGACCACACCCGGAATACTGCAGCCAATTTTGGTCACCATATCATAAAAAAGATGTTGAGAGATTGGAAAAATATTCAGAGAAGAGCAACTAAGATGATCAAAAGCCTGGAGACTAAAACATACAAAGAATAACTATGGGACTTGGGTTTGGCTAGTCTGAAGAAAAAAAGAAATAGGGGAGACTAGACAGCAATATTCCAGTATTTGAGGGGCTGCCACAAAAAAGAGGAGGTCACATTATTCTCCAAAGCATCAGAGGAAAGGACAAGAAACAATGGTTGGAAACTGACCAAAGAGAGAAGCAACTGGAATTAAGAAGAAACTTCCTGACAGTGAGGACAATTAGCCAGTAGAATAGCTTGCCTCTAGAAATTGTGGGCACTCCATCACTGGAGATTTTTAAGAAGAGACTAGACAGTCACCTGTTTGAGATGGTATAGGTTCTCCTGCTTCAGCAGGGGGCTAGACTAGATGACCTCCAAGTTTTCAATTTCTTCTGAATCTCCTTCTGCACTTATTCTATTCTATTCTATTCTATTCTATTCTATTCTATTCTATTCTATTCTATTCTATTCTATTCTATTCTATTCTATTCTATTCCACTCCACTCCGGTCCACTCCACTAACTATTCTATTCTATTCTATTCTGTTCTATTCTATTCTATTCTATTCTATTCTATTCTATTCTATTCTATTCTATTCTAATGAAAATTAAGAAAAATGGCTTCAAAATTCCAGTTTTACCTTCCCTGTTGGCAAGGTGATCTGACTTCTGAGAAAAAAAAAATGTAACATTTTTCCTTTACTATCATGGCAGAAATCTGAAAATAAAACTTCAAAATAATCTTTCTAAATATCCAAACTGCCATTTACATATTGAGGAAACATCTGGACCCAAAAAATCTCCTCAGAGAATTGGTAAGATGTGCCCTCTCCTCAGTTTTGACACTGGAGGGCAATGTTGACACACAAAACCCCCCCGGCCTATGGATGAGGGTGGGGTAGGGAATAAGTCAATTCTAAACAGATATTGTCTAATTTTGGAAGAGTGATAACTGGTTATTATTTCTGTAATTGTTCCCTGAAAATCTCTCAAGAAAATTCCACATCTCAGGAAGCTATAATCCTCCCTGTGAAGCAGTGAATTTTTATAAAAGGATGTGTATCATTTCTGGTTTTGTCATCAGAATAACTGTCAAGATAGTTCAAATCTTTGATGGAAATGAAAAAAAAAATGTAAAGGGATGTTTTACTAGGTTTGGTGAACATGAAAAAAAGCTTTAAAAAATGACAATAGATATGTACACTAATCCAGAAAATTTTGAGGATAAAACTATAATTGAAAGCAGAGAGTTTTCTCTTTGGACTAATACCTAAGCAACTAGAAAAAAAAACTAATAAAACTTTGCTTTTATATATGATAACTGCAAGGAGATTATTACATGCTCACAAATGGAAAGACTCAACACCACCCACAATGGAGTGATAGAAAATGAAGATGATGGAATCTTCACACTAAACTAAAATTCTGTGTTAGAAAATTCTTTATAAATTTTGCATGAAACAGAAAAAAACATACAGTCATGATTTGTGGTTTTGATGATTAGAAAAAAATGGATAATAGAAAAACATGAGCTCTTTTTTTGTAATCACACTTAATATTATAAATGTGCTTATATTTGCTGCAGAAGAAATATCAAGATTCTTTTTTTCTGTTTCTTTTCAGTCTCATTCTGAACTCTGAAGTTTCCCTCCTTCCTTCCTTCCTTCCTTCCTTACTCCCTCCCTCCCTCCCTCCTCCTCTCTCCATCCATCCATCCATCCATCCATCCATCCATCCATCCATCCATTCATCCATCCTTTCAAAGATTAGTTTATTATATTATAGTCTACACTATGCGTTTCTAGTAACATTTTTAATTACAGTTGTTATTATTCATTATTATTGTAACTGTTATTATTTCATTTTTTACGGCTGTCCATCTTGGCGAATAAACCCTGGGCAAGTAACAGGTGATAAAAACACTGCACAAAGTAGCATCTAAAACAAAAAAATAAATGATCTTGGTCTGCATTCAGCTCTTTGGGGTTTCTTCAAAAGGTCATTTTAAAGAGAAAAATGTATAAAACCTTTCTTGAGCTTAGATGTGCTGCCTCTTTCAAATGTCCTTAGTTCAAGATTTGTTCCCTTAAATCGCTTTGGAGAAGTGGTAAAATTTTGCAAGTCTTTGTTTTTAATACTCTGATTTAAAGGTTGCTTTCACTTGTCTTAAAACGGAAAAGTTTTAAAGTTAAACCAAGACTGCAAGGAAACTCCAAGGGGAATGCACTGGTGGGTTCTTTTATGTCAACCAACATGTAAATCAAGTCACAATTTCCCTCTTTAAAAGAGCTGGCTGGTTTTCCATTTCAGGCTACACCCACCACAACAAAATTTGTGCGCATTCCCGAATCCTTTCTGATCAACTCCCTACCATTCATTACACAGAGCAGAAATGCTTCTGTGGCTAAACTTGGTGTCCTTACTAGCAGTCCTCCACGGTAATTGTTTTCTCCTATTCAACTCCTTTCCATTTTAATTCTTGTATAAAGGAGAGCTCACTGAAACTCTTTCAATTTTAGGTGTCCAATCTGAGGTCCAGTTGGTGGAGTCTGGAGGGGATGTGAGAAGCCCTGGAGGGTCCCTCCGTCTCTCCTGCCAAGCCTCTGGATTCACCTTCAGCAGCTATTACATGGACTGGGTGAGACAGGCTCCAGGGAAAGGACTGGAATGGGTGGCAGAGATAGGTACATCCTCATCTCCGATTAACTACTTGGACAAAGTCAAGGGACGTTTCACTATCTCCAGGGACGATTCCCGCAGCCAGCTGTATTTGCAAATGGACAGTCTGAAACTGGAAGACACGGCAGTTTATTACTGTGCTAGAGACACAGTGAGAGGAAGTGAATCTGACGCCAAGCAAGAACCTTCTCATCAGAGCAGCTGTTCAAATTGAATTCCTTACAGAGAGCTAAATTTGTGTAATTGGAGCAGCCAATAAATCTCCATGATGGCAAGTGGAAGTGCAGGACTGGCCTTGGAATAAGCAGTGTGGAACCTGGTTAGCAGTTTGGTAGGAAGAAAAAAAAAATCTATGGTCAGTATTTGAAACTGGGTACTTTAAAAAACTTAAAATTTATTTAAAGGTACAAATATGGACTCATGTCCCACAATTCATCCTTGGTATATTTTGCAGTTCAGTCCTCTTTGATTCCCAGTATTAACAACTCTCCTCGGTTTAATTCATTTGTATATGTTGCTCCTTTTTCATTTTGCCTACATTAATATAATAATAATAATCGTAGTAGTAAAGTTGGAAGGGGCCTTGGAGGTCATCTAGTCCAACCCCCTGCTCAGGCAGGAAACCCTATACCATTTCAGACAAATGGCTGTCCAGTCTCTTCTTAAAAACTTCCAGTGTTGGAGCATTCACCGCTTCTGAAGGCAAGTTGTTCCACTGGTTAATTGTTCTCACTGTCAGGAAGTTTCTCCTTAGTTCTAGGTTGCTTCTCTCCTTGCTTAGTTTCCACCCGTTGCTTCTTGTCCTGCCTTCAGGCCCCTTGGAAAATAGCTTGACTCCCTCTTCTTCCCTTAATCCTGAAGGTCTGGCTGAACCAAGGGAGGTAAACATTGGTCATTGAAAATCACCTCTCCTAGAAGCTCTCTGGGACTGAATATGTTGGACGGTCTTCCTGCCTTGATAGCTTCAGCTACAACTTCATACCAAACAGAAGGGTGTCTTGACTTGGCCTACCTCCCACTAACAACTGGGAGTGAAAACAGGTGAAATCCCTCAAGCACCTTGCTTAACAGGGAAATAAAAGTGTGTGTGTGGGGGGGGGATCTGACAGTTTCATCTTGTAGACTTTGTAGTTTTGGATAAAAATCAGCCACAGAAAGTCCACATTGGAAAGCAAGATATACATTTGTTCAAATGTAATCATTTCTACTGTCCTATGTGCTAATAGTTAAACGTGAAAGTTCAGGATAATCTTTCTAAATAGCTAAACAGCCATTCACATTTTGAGGATACGTCTGTATCCCCTCCTCATTTTTCACACTAGGGGGCAATGTTGTCACACGAAACCCCGTGGGTGGGGGTTGGTAGGGAATAAAACAAATCTCATTTATTTATTTATTTTCTATTTTGGAGGCATGATCTTTTTTATGTATATTATTTCCATAATAGTTCACTGAAAATCTCTCTGAAAATTTCACCTCTCCAAGGCTACTGTCCTAACCATGCAATTGAGCAAAATGATTTATCTGGTGTTTGTCACCAGCAAAGCTATAGAATGTATAAAGTAACATTTATAAAGGAAGGGAATATTTATAAAGTTTGATGGACATGCAAAAAAAATGCTGTATACACATACATGGACCTATCCCCATGATGTTAAATGTTAAAATTGAATTGAAGCCAGAGAGTTTTATTTTGGGACTAATGCAGTGGTTCTCAACCTGTGGGTCGGGACCCCATTTGGGGTCGAACGACCATTTCACGGGGGTCGCCAAACAAGGCTTTCCGCCATTTTTCCCCCCTTTTCTTTGGCCAGCTCCCCTGGCACCCGGTGATGTATAAGTGGTTGGGGGTCACCATAACATGGGGAACTGTATTATGGGGTCGCGGCATTAGAAAGGTTGAGAACCACTGGACTAATGGAAAGGCAATTAGAAAACGGTCTTTGTTTTTACATATGGTATCTGCAGCTAGACCAGATATGTCAAACACAAGGCCCGGGTGCCGGATGCGGCCCTGAAGTGGTTTCATGTGGCCTGTGAAGCCATCCTGGAAACAGTGAGGGAACGGCCCCCACTGTCTTGGCCTGGCCCAGGCCGGCCAGGAACCAATGTACAATTTTGTGGTGGCCAAATATGCTGAAACACATTCAGTCTTAGCTCCACAAGGACGTCTGGAAACAGTGAGGAACCAGCCCCTGCCATGTCAGTCCCACCTCCTAGGTGCATGCATTCCTTTTGTGAATGGACATGGCCAGCAAATGGCCCTTGCCTACTTCACATATCCGGCTTGATGGGCTCTGGGGGAGGGGTTTTGGCAGGCAGCGGGGCACTCTCCTCACAGTGCCGAGAGGCTGAGCTGGGTGGCGCAACTCCAAAAAGAAATGTCAGGTCGCCCACTCCCAACCTGTCCAGTTTCAGCAGGCAGCAAGGTGCAAAGTTGGTGAGCTCTCCTGGCTCAACCTCCTGGCTCAACCTCTCGGTGCTGTGAGGAGAGCGCCCCACTGCCTGCTGAAATTACACCCACCCAGTAGGCCTTACCCACTCCATCCACACCCATCCAGTAGGCCATATCCACCTTGGCCACACCCACCCACCCACCCCGAGGGAAACCACAATGCTGATGCGACGCTCAATGAAATTGAGTTGACACGCCTGAGCTAGACTATTATATGCTCAGAAATGGAGCATAGTGGAGGACTGTTTAGTGAAGATGACAGGGCTTGGAAAGATGGTTAAACATCTTTTGATTATGTTTGATTAAATATTTTTGATTAGGAAGCCTTTCATAAAAAATCTGTACTCTTTTTTATAAACATAAAGAGTTAATATCCTTAATGTACTTATTTGCTGCACAAGTAGTCAGAAGCTTCTTTTTTTTTCTAGTCCTTTTCATTCTCTCTTTATACACTTTTATCTTTCCCTTTCTTCTTCCTTTTTTTGTTGCTTCTCTTAGTCTTTCTTAGTTTTTTTTGTACAACTTTTAATAATGTGTAAAAAATAATAATAAAGGCTTCCCTTGTCCAGTCATTTCTGACTCCAGGGGGCAATGCTCAACTCCATTTCTTAGTCAAGGGAGCCAGCATTGTCCAAAGACATTTCTGCGCTCGTGGGACCAGCATGGCTATATGCCAAAGAGCACGGAACACTGCTAGGTGGGCAGGAGCTGCAGCTAGTAATGGGAGCTCACCCTATCGCACGGCACTTGGGTCTTTAACCCTTATGTATGTATGTATGTATGTATGTATGTATGTATGTATGTATGTATATATATATATTCAATTTTTTTTCAAAATTTTGTGGCTGACATTTACAGTGTTCACAGTAGTGATGTCTGCCTGCAAAAGATGCTCCTAGAATGGAGTGAAATGCAGAACAGATTGCTTTACATTTGGAAGACTGGATGTTCCACCCAACACACACACACACACGCACACACACACACACAAACACATACACACACACACACACACACATATATATATGCAGTTCTTGACATATATATATATATATAAAAATTCAGTGTGAAGCAGCTGTGTTTTATAAAATATAGAGCAAAAATGAATTGTTTTTTTTAATACAAAGTTATTTATTAGTATTTTTTCAATCTACAGGAAATAAATGACATTTTTATTACAATTGCTATTACCATTATTCTTGCCATTATTATTGTTGTTGTTATCATGGGTCATTGCACAGTCAGCCAGATGTTCAGACTGGATTTGGCATTTTGTCTACCTATCGAATCCTTACCCAGGACCTGGGATAGGCAGATGTGGATGTTTGATGGTATTACAGATATCGTCGCAGGATGGAAGCAGTTCCTAATAAGGCCGCCTTTTGCAATTGACTAATAGCAAATTTGTCAATGCCAATGGTGTTCAAGTGGTGCTCCAGTTGTTTTGGGATTGCACCCAAGGAGCCTATGACTATTGGTACTACCCTTGCTTGCTTTTGCCACAGTCTTTCTATTTCTATTTGTAGGTCTTTGTATTTTGTTATCTTCTCCAGTTCTTTCTCTTCTATTCTGCTATCTCCAGGCACTGCCACGTCCACTATCCAGACTTTTTTGTCTTTCTTATCGACAATTGTTAAGTCTGGGGTGTTATGTTGCAGGTGCTTGTCTGTTTGTTGTTGTTATTATTATTATTATTATTATTATTATTATTATTATTATTATTATTATTATTATTATTATTATTATTATTTCAATGAGTATGGCTACCCATCTTGGTAAATCAACTCTGGGCAACTAACTACTGATGCAAACACAACACAAAGCAACAAAATATCAAGCAGTACAAGTATTTATACAAAGGTCAAATTAAAACCCAATTTAATAAGCAAAGAACTTCCCACAGGCTGAAACCAGTCATTTTCTCTTTGATTTCTCCAACCGAGGCCTAACTTATAAGTTGTGCCTTGTCTCTTGACCTATGCACCATTCTTTTGGGGTTTTTTTCAAAAGGCATATTAAAGGGGAAGAAAATGTAAAATCTTTTCTAACCTTAGATGTGCTGCTCTTCTCATGTTCTACCTATAACATGTCTCTTTCAAACATTCTTAGTCCAAGTTCAGTACCTGCAACCTTGAATCACTTTTCAAAAGTGGTGACATTGTCCAAGTCTTTCTTTTAATTATTGTTTTAATCATTTAGTCATGGGCAATTCTTGGTGACTTTATAGGCTAGTGCAGTTTACTTTATTCTGCAATGGTTTTAATTATTCTAATGTAATGGCTGTTTTAATTTTTCTTAAAACTGAAAACTTATGTGAAAATCATCACTGTAGGGAATTGTGCAAGGAAACTATAAGGTGAATGCTCTGACGAGCTCTTTTATCTCAACCAATATGTAAATCGAGTCACAATTTCCCCTTTAAAGGAGCCAATTGCTTTTCCTTTTAAGGCTACACCCCAGCAACACAAAGTTGTGCATTTTCCTCAATTCTATCCTATCAACTCCTCTCAGTTCATTACAGGTTGCAAAAATGATTCTGTGGCTAAACATGGTGTTCCTATTAGCATTCCTCAGAGGTAATTGTTTTCTCTCTACGTATTCAGGTTGTTTCCATTTTAATTCTTGTATACAGGACAGCTTTTTGATACACTTTCCCTTTTAGGTGTCCAATCTGAGGTCCAGTTGGTGGAGTCTGGAGGGGATGTGAGAAGACCTGGAGGGTCCCTCCGTCTCTCCTGCCAAGCCTCTGGATTCACCTTCAGCAGCTATTACATGAGCTGGGTGAGACAGGCTCCAGGGAAAGGACTGGAATGGGTTTCACAGATATATCCAAGTTCATCTAGCATTTACTACTCAGACAAAATTAAAGGACGTTTCACCACTTCAAGGGATGATGCCAAAAGCCAGCTGTACTTGCAAATGAACAATCTAAAAGCTGAAGACACGGCAGTCTATTACTGCTGGGACACAGTGAGAGGAAGTGAATCCAATGCTAAACAAAAACTTTCCTTTCTTCAGAGCAGCTCTGCAACCTGATTCAGCCCAAGATCCTGGATTAGCTAATTAGGATTCACTACCAGATGAGATGAGATGAGATGGCTGGATGGAGTCACTGAAGCAGTAGGTGTGAACTTAAATGGACTCCAGAAGATGGTAGAGGACAGGAAGACCTGGAGGAAAGTTGTCCATGGGGTCGCGATGGATCAGACACGACTTCGCAATTAACAACAACAAGAACCAGATTCTTTTGTTCTGGTTATCCAGTAAGACACTTTGCAAGAGGAAAAGGAGATCTATGAACAACTAGAAGCAAACAAATTTATAACCAGTAGCCAGCATGGGTTTGTTAAAAACGGATCATGCCAAACCGATCTTATTTCATTCTTTGACAAAGTGACGAAATACTGTGGACGTAGTATACTTAGATTTCAGTAAGGCATTTGATAAAGTAGACCACAACCTACTCCTTGATAAGCTAGGAAAAGGTGGAATAGACAACATCACCAACAGATGGATCTGTAGCTGGCTGACAAATCATACTCAATGAGTAGTCCTCAATGGCACTACATCTACATGGAGAGAAGTAAGCAGTGGGGTACCACAAGGTTCTGTCTTAGGCTCAACACTCTTCAATATCTCCATAAATGATTTAGATGAGGGAATTGAAGGGGAACTGCAGATGACACCAAACTGACAGGAATAGCCAACACCCCAGAAGAAAAACTTAGGATCCGAAAAGAACTTCACAAACTTGAACAATGGGCCCTATCCAACAAAATGAGTTTCAGTGTAGAGAAAAGCAAAGTTTTACATTTAGGCAGAAAAAAAATCAAATGTACAAGTATAGATTGGGTGAGACCTGGCTCAAAACAGTAACTGTGAGAGGGACCTTGGAGTCCTAGTGGATGATCACTTGACTATGGGTCAGCAGTGTGCAGCAGCAACCAAAAAAGCTAACACAATCCTGGGTTGTATAAACAGAGGCAAAGAATCAAGATCACATAAAGTATTAGTACCGCTTTATAAAACCCTTGTAAGACCACACCTGGAATACTGCAGCCAATTTTGGTCACCATATCACAAAAAAGATGTTGAGAGATTGGAAAAAATTCAGAGAAGAGCAACTGAGATGATCAAAGGCCTGGAGACTAAAACATACAAAAAATACTTGTGGGACTTGGATTTGGCTAGTCTGAAGAAAAGAAGAAATAGGGGAGACTTGACAGCAATATTCCAGTATTTGAGGGGCTGCCACAAAGAAGAGGAGGTCACGTTATTGCCCAAAGCATCAGAGGACAGGACAAGAAACAATGGTTGGAAACTAACCAAAGAAAGAAGCAACCTGGAATTAAGAAGAAACTTTCTGACAGTGAGGACAATTAACCAGTAGAATAGCTTGCCTCTAGAAATCGTAGGCACTCCATCACTGGAGATTTTTAAGAAGAAACTAGGCAGTCACTTGTTTGAGATGGTATAGGTTCTCCTGCTTCAGCAGGGGGCTAGACTAGATGACCTCCAAGTTTTCAATTTCTTCTGAATCTCCTTCTGCACTTATTCTATTCTATTCTATTCTATTCTATTCTATTCTATTCTATTCTATTCTATTCTATTCTACTCTACTCTACTCTACTCTACTCTACTCTACTCTACTCTACTCTATTCTATTCTATTCTATTCTATTCTATTCTATTCTATTCTATTCTATTCTATTCTATTCTAGTCCAGTCCAGTCCAGTCCAGTCCACTAACCTATTCTATTCTATTCTATTCTATTCTATTCTATTCTATTCTATTCTATTCTATTCTATTCTATTCCAGTCCAGTCCAGTCCAGTCCAGTCCACTAACCTATTCTATTCTATTCTATTCTATTCTATTCTATTCTATTCTATTCTATTCTATTCTATTCTATTCTATTCTATTCTATTCTATTCTATTCCATTCTATTCTATTCTATTCTATTCTATTCTATTCTATTCTAATGAAAATAAAGAAAAATGGCTTCAAAATTCCAGTTTTACCTTCCCTGTTGGCAAGGTGATCTGACTTCTGAGAAAAAAAAATGTAACATTTTTCCTTTACTATCATGGCAGAAATCTGAAAATGAAACTTCAAAATAATCTTTCTAAATATCCAAACTGCCATTTACATATTGAGGAAACATCTGGACCCAAAGAATCTCCTCAGAGAATTGGTAAGATGTGCCCTCTCCTCAATTTTGACACTGGAGGGCAATGTTGACACACAAAACCCCCTGGCCTATGGATGAGGGTGGGGTAGGGAATAAGTCAATTCTAAACAGATATTGTCTAATTTTGGAAGAGTGATAACTGCTTAATATTTCTGTAATTGTTCCCTGAAAATCTCTCCAGAAAATTCCACATCTCAGGAAGCTACAATCCTCCCTGTGAAGCAGTGAATTTTTATAAAAGGATGTGTATCATTTCTGGTTTTGTCATCAGAATAACTGTCAAGATAGTTCAAATCTTTGATGGAAATGAAAAAAAAATGTAAAGGGATGTTTTACCAGGTTTGCTGAACATGCAAAAAAGCTTTAAAAAATAACATTAGATATGTACACTAATCCAGAAAATTTTAAGGATAATTGAAAGCAGAGAGTTTTCTCTTTGGACTAATACATAACCGACTAGAAAAAAAACTAATAAAACTTTGCTTTTATACATGATAACTGCAGGGAGATTATTACATGCTCACAAATGGAAAGACTCAACACCACCCACAATGGAGTGATAGAAAGTGAAGATGATGGAATCTTCACAATAAAATAAAATTCTGTGTTAGAAAATTCTTTATAAACTTTGCATGAAACAGAAAAAACATACAGTCATGATTTGTGGTTTTGATGATTAGAAAAAAAATGGATAATAGAAAAAACATGAGCTCTTTTTTGTAATCACAGTTAATATTATAAATGTGCTTATATTTGCTGCAGAAGAAATATCAAGATTCTTTTTTTCTGTTTCTTTTCAGTCTCATTCTGAACTCTAAAGTTTCCCTCCCTCCCTCCCACCCTCCCTCCCTCCTTCCTTCCTTCCTTCCTTCCTTTCTCCCTCCCTCCCTCCCTCCCTCCCTCCCTCCTCCTCTCTCCATTCATCCATCCAACCATCCATCCATCCATCCATCCCTCCATCCATCCTTTCAAAGATTGGTTTATTATATTATAGTCTACACTATGTGTTTCTGGTAACATTTTTAATTACAGTTGTTATTATCATTATTATTGTAACTGTTATTATTTCATTTTTTATGGCTGTCCATCTTGGCGAATAAACTCTGGGCAAGTAACAGGTGATAAAAACACTGCACAAAGTAGCATCTAAAACAAAAAAAAATGATCTTGGTCTGCATTCAGTTCTTTTAGGTTTCTTCAAAAGGTCATTTTAAAGGGAAAAATGTATAAAACACTTGAAGAGAGAAATGAATGCCAATCTCAGCTGGAATCAAACAGTGAAGGAAGTGTATAAAACCTTTCCTGAACTCTGATGTGCTGCTGTTTTCATGTTTTCTAACATGCCTCTTTCAAACGTCCTTAGTTCAAGATTTGTTCCCTTAAATCGCTTTGGAGAAGTGGTAAAATTTTGCAAGTCTTTGTTTTTAATACTCTGATTTAAAGGTTGCTTTCACTTGTCTTAAAACGGAAAAGTTTTAAAGTTAAACCAAGACTGCAAGAAAACTACAAGGGGAATGCACTGGTGGGTTCTTTTATGTCAACCAACATGTAAATCAAGTCACAATTTCCCTCTTTAAAAGAGCTGGCTGGTTTTCCATTTCAGGCTACACCCACCACAACAAAATTTGTGCGCATTCCCGAATCCTTTCTGATCAACTCCCTACCATTCATTACACAGAGCAGAAATGCTTCTGTGGCTAAACTTGGTGTCCTTACTAGCAGTCCTCCACGGTAATTGTTTTCTCCTATTCAACTCCTTTCCATTTTAATTCTTGTATAAAGGAGAGCTCACTGAAACTCTTTCAATTTTAGGTGTCCAATCTGAGGTCCAGTTGGTGGAGTCTGGAGGGGATGTGAGAAGACCTGGAGGGTCCCTCCGTCTCTCCTGCCAAGCCTCTGGATTCACCTTCAGCAGCTATTACATGTACTGGGTGAGACAGGCTCCAGGGAAAGGACTGGAATGGGTGGCAGAGATAGGTACATCCTCATCTCCGATTAACTACTTGGACAAAGTCAAGGGACGTTTCACTATCTCCAGGGACGATTCCCGCAGCCAGCTGTATTTGCAAATGGACAGTCTGAAACTGGAAGACACGGCAGTTTATTACTGTGCTAGAGACACAGTGAGAGGAAGTGAATCTGACGCCAAGCAAGAACCTTCTCATCAGAGCAGCTGTTCAAATTGAATTCCTTACAGAGAGCTAAATTTGTGTAATTGGAGCAGCCAATAAATCTCCATGATGGCAAGTGGAAGTGCAGGACTGGCCTTGGAATAAGCAGTGTGGAACCTGGTTAGCAGTTTGGTAGGAAGAAAAAAAAAATCTATGGTCAGTATTTGAAACTGGGTACTTTAAAAAACTTAAAATTTATTTAAAGGTACAAATATGGACTCATGTCCCACAATTCATCCTTGGTATATTTTGCAGTTCAGTCCTCTTTGATTCCCAGTATTAACAACTCTCCTCGGTTTAATTCATTTGTATATGTTGCTCCTTTTTCATTTTGCCTACATTAATATAATAATAATAATCGTAGTAGTAAAGTTGGAAGGGGCCTTGGAGGTCATCTAGTCCAACCCCCTGCTCAGGCAGGAAACCCTATACCATTTCAGACAAATGGCTGTCCAGTCTCTTCTTAAAAACTTCCAGTGTTGGAGCATTCACCGCTTCTGAAGGCAAGTTGTTCCACTGGTTAATTGTTCTCACTGTCAGGAAGTTTCTCCTTAGTTCTAGGTTGCTTCTCTCCTTGCTTAGTTTCCACCCGTTGCTTCTTGTCCTGCCTTCAGGCCCCTTGGAAAATAGCTTGACTCCCTCTTCTTCCCTTAATCCTGAAGGTCTGGCTGAACCAAGGGAGGTAAACATTGGTCATTGAAAATCACCTCTCCTAGAAGCTCTCTGGGACTGAATATGTTGGACGGTCTTCCTGCCTTGATAGCTTCAGCTACAACTTCATACCAAACAGAAGGGTGTCTTGACTTGGCCTACCTCCCACTAACAACTGGGAGTGAAAACAGATGAAATCCCTCAAGCACCTTGCTTAACAGGGAAATAAAAGTGTGTGTGTGGGGGGGGGATCTGACAGTTTCATCTTGTAGACTTTGTAGTTTTGGATAAAAATCAGCCACAGAAAGTCCACATTGGAAAGCAAGATATACATTTGTTCAAATGTAATCATTTCTACTGTCCTATGTGCTAATAGTTAAACGTGAAAGTTCAGGATAATCTTTCTAAATAGCTAAACAGCCATTCACATTTTGAGGATACGTCTGTATCCCCTCCTCATTTTTCACACTAGGGGGCAATGTTGTCACACGAAACCCCGTGGGTGGGGGTTGGTAGGGAATAAAACAAATCTCATTTATTTATTTATTTTCTATTTTGGAGGCATGATCTTTTTTATGTATATTATTTCCATAATAGTTCACTGAAAATCTCTCTGAAAATTTCACCTCTCCAAGGCTACTGTCCTAACCATGCAATTGAGCAAAATGATTTATCTGGTGTTTGTCACCAGCAAAGCTATAGAATGTATAAAGTAACATTTATAAAGGAAGGGAATATTTATAAAGTTTGATGGACATGCAAAAAAAATGCTGTATACACATACATGGACCTATCCCCATGATGTTAAATGTTAAAATTGAATTGAAGCCAGAGAGTTTTATTTTGGGACTAATGCAGTGGTTCTCAACCTGTGGGTCGGGACCCCATTTGGGGTCGAACGACCATTTCACGGGGGTCGCCAAACAAGGCTTTCCACCATTTTTCCCCCCTTTTCTTTGGCCAGCGCCCCTGGCACCCGGTGATGTATAAGTGGTTGGGGGTCACCATAACATGGGGAACTGTATTATGGGGTCGCGGCATTAGAAAGGTTGAGAACCACTGGACTAATGGAAAGGCAATTAGAAAACGGTCTTTGTTTTTACATATGGTATCTGCAGCTAGACCAGATATGTCAAACACAAGGCCCGGGTGCCGGATGCGGCCCTGAAGTGGTTTCATGTGGCCTGTGAAGCCATCCTGGAAACAGTGAGGGAACGGCCCCCACTGTCTTGGCCTGGCCCAGGCCGGCCAGGAACCAATGTACAATTTTGTGGTGGCCAAATATGCTGAAACACATTCAGTCTTAGCTCCACAAGGACGTCTGGAAACAGTGAGGAACCAGCCCCTGCCATGTCAGTCCCACCTCCTAGGTGCATGCATTCCTTTTGTGAATGGACATGGCCAGCAAATGGCCCTTGCCTACTTCACATATCCGGCTTGATGGGCTCTGGGGGAGGGGTTTTGGCAGGCAGCGGGGCACTCTCCTCACAGTGCCGAGAGGCTGAGCTGGGTGGCGCAACTCCAAAAAGAAATGTCAGGTCGCCCACTCCCAACCTGTCCAGTTTCAGCAGGCAGCAAGGTGCAAAGTTGGTGAGCTCTCCTGGCTCAACCTCCTGGCTCAACCTCTCGGTGCTGTGAGGAGAGCGCCCCACTGCCTGCTGAAATTACACCCACCCAGTAGGCCTTACCCACTCCATCCACACCCATCCAGTAGGCCATATCCACCTTGGCCACACCCACCCACCCACCCCGAGGGAAACCACAATGCTGATGCGACGCTCAATGAAATTGAGTTGACACGCCTGAGCTAGACTATTATATGCTCAGAAATGGAGCATAGTGGAGGACTGTTTAGTGAAGATGACAGGGCTTGGAAAGATGGTTAAACATCTTTTGATTATGTTTGATTAAATATTTTTGATTAGGAAGCCTTTCATAAAAAATCTGTACTCTTTTTTATAAACATAAAGAGTTAATATCCTTAATGTACTTATTTGCTGCACAAGTAGTCAGAAGCTTCTTTTTTTTTCTAGTCCTTTTCATTCTCTCTTTATACACTTTTATCTTTCCCTTTCTTCTTCCTTTTTTTGTTGCTTCTCTTAGTCTTTCTTAGTTTTTTTTTAGTTTTTTTTGTACAACTTTTAATAATGTGTAAAAAATAATAATAAAGGCTTCCCTTGTCCAGTCATTTCTGACTCCAGGGGGCAATGCTCAACTCCATTTCTTAGTCAAGGGAGCCAGCATTGTCCAAAGACATTTCTGCGCTCGTGGGACCAGCATGGCTATATGCCAAAGAGCACGGAACACTGCTAGGTGGGCAGGAGCTGCAGCTAGTAATGGGAGCTCACCCTATCGCACGGCACTTGGGTCTTTAACCCTTATGTATGTATGTATGTATGTATGTATGTATGTATGTATGTATATATATATATTCAATTTTTTTTTCAAAATTTTGTGGCTGACATTTACAGTGTTCACAGTAGTGATGTCTGCCTGCAAAAGATGCTCCTAGAATGGAGTGAAATGCAGAACAGATTGCTTTACATTTGGAAGACTGGATGTTCCACCCAACACACACACACACACGCACACACACACACACAAACACATACACACACACACACACACACATATATATATGCAGTTCTTGACATATATATATATATATAAAAATTCAGTGTGAAGCAGCTGTGTTTTATAAAATATAGAGCAAAAATGAATTGTTTTTTTTAATACAAAGTTATTTATTAGTATTTTTTCAATCTACAGGAAATAAATGACATTTTTATTACAATTGCTATTACCATTATTCTTGCCATTATTATTGTTGTTGTTATCATGGGTCATTGCACAGTCAGCCAGATGTTCAGACTGGATTTGGCATTTTGTCTACCTATCGAATCCTTACCCAGGACCTGGGATAGGCAGATGTGGATGTTTGATGGTATTACAGGTATCGTCACAGGATGGAAGCAGTTCCTAGTAAGGCCGCCTTTTGCAATTGACTAATAGCAAATTTGTCAATGCCAATGGTGTTTAAGTGGTGCTCCAGTTGTTTGGGGATTGCACCCAAGGAGCCTATGACTATTGGTACTACCCTTGCTTGCTTTTGCCACAGTCTTTCTATTTCTATTTGTAGGTCTTTGTATTTTGTTATCTTCTCCAGTTCTTTCTCGTCTATTCTGCTGTCTCCAGGCACTGCCACGTCCACTAGCCAGACTTTTTTGTCTTTCTTATCGACAATTGTTAAGTCTGGGGTGTTATGTTGCAGGTGCTTGTCTGTTTGTTGTTGTTATTATTATTATTATTATTATTATTATTATTATTATTATTATTATTATTATTATTATTATTATTATTATTTCAATGAGTATGGCTACCCATCTTGGTAAATCAACTCTGGGCAACTAACTACTGATGCAAACACAACACAAAGCAACAAAATATCAAGCAGTACAAGTATTTATACAAAGGTCAAATTAAAACCCAATTTAATAAGCAAAGAACTTCCCACAGGCTGAAACCAGTCATTTTCTCTTTGATTTCTCCAACCGAGGCCTCACTTATAAGTTGTGCCTTGTCTCTTGACCTATGCACCATTCTTTTGGGGTTTTTTCAAAAGGCATATTAAAGGGGAAGAAAATGTAAAATCTTTTCTAACCTTAGATGTGCTGCTCTTCTCATGTTCTACCTATAACATGTCTCTTTCAAACATTCTTAGTCCAAGTTCATCACCTGCAACCTTGAATCACTTTTCAGAAGTGGTGACATTGTCCAAGTCTTTCTTTTAATTATTGTTGTTTTAACCATTTAGTCATGGGCAATTCTTGGTGACTTTATAGGCTAGTGCAGTTTACTTTATTCTGCAATGGTTTTAATTATTCTAATGTAATGGCTGTTTTCATTTTTCTTAAAACTGAAAACTTATGTGAAAATCACCACTGTAGGGAATTGTGCAAGGAAATAAGGTGAATGCTCTGACTAGCTCTTTTATCTCAACCAATATGTAAATCGAGTCACAATTTCCCCTTTAAAGGAGCCAATTGCTTTTCCTTTTAAGGCTACACCCCAGCAACACAAAGTTGTGCATTTTCCTCAATTCTATCCTATCAACTCCTCTCAATTCATTACAGGTTGCAAATATGATTCTGTGGCTAAACATGGTGTCCCTACTAGCATTCCTCAGAGGTAATTGTTTCCTTTCTAGGTATTCAGTTGTTTCCATTTTAATTCTTGTATACTGGAGAGTTTATTGATACACCTTTCTTTTTAGGTGTTCAATCTGAGGTCCAGTTGGTGGAGTCTGGAGGGGGTGTGAGAAGACCTGGAGGGTCCCTCCGTCTCTCCTGCCAAGCCTCAGGATTCACCTTCAGCAGCTATTACATGGGCTGGGTGAGACAGACTCCAGGGAAAGGACTGGAGTGGGTTGCAAGGATAGGTACATCCTCATCTCCAATTAGCTACTCAGACAAAGTCAAGGGACGCTTCACCATCTCTAGGGATGATTCCCGGAGCCAGCTGTATCTGCAAATGAACAATCTGAAACCAGAGGACACAGCTGTCTATTACTGTGCAAGAGAGTCACAGTGAGAGGAAGTGAATCTGACACCAAGCAAGAACCTTCTCATCCGAGCAGCTGTACAAATTGAATTTCTTACAGAAATCTAAATTTGTATAATTGGAGCAGCCAATAAATCTCTATGAGGGCAAGTGGAAGCTCAGAACTGATCTTAGAATAAGAAGTGTGGAATCTAGTTAGCAATTTGGTAGGGAGAAACGAAACCATCTATGGTCAGTATTTGACACTGGGTACTTTTAAAAATGTTAAAATTCATTTAAGGTAGGAATAGAATAGAGCTGGAAGGTACCTTGGAGGTCTTCTAGTCTAGCCCTCTGCTCAAGCAGGAGAACCTATGCCATTGAAGACAAGGGACTGTCCAGTCTCTTCTTAAAAATCTCCAGTGATGGAGTGTCCACGGTTTCTGGAGGCTGTAGTGACCAAACTAGTAGATCAGCCAAATTCAGTGGACATAGTATACCTAGATTTCAGTAAGGCATTCAACAAAGTAGACCACAACCTACTCCTTGATAAGCTAGGAAAAGGTGGAACATCACCACCAGATGGATCTGTTGCTGGCTGACAAACCATATTCAATGAGTAGTCCTCAATGGCACTACATCCACATGGAGAGAAGTAACTAGTGTGGTACCACAGGGTTCTGTCTTAGTCCCAATACTCATATCTTCATAAATTACTTAGATGAGGGAAATGAAGGGGAACTCATCAAATTTGCAGATGACACCAAACTGGCAGAAGACAAACTCGGGATCCAAAAAGATCTTAACAAAGTTGAACAATGGGCCCTATCCAGTAAAATGAGTTTCAATGTGGAAAAAAGCAAAGTCTTACATTTAGGCAGGAAAAACCAAAGGTTCAAATACAGACTGGGCGGGACCTGGCTTAAAAATAGTAGCTGTGAGAGGGACCTTGGAGTCCTAGTGGACGATCACTTGACTATGAGTCAGCAGTGTGCAGCAACAACCAAAATAGCTAATACAATCCTGGGTTGTATAAACAGAGTCATAGAATCAAGATTAGTATTAGTACTACTTTATAAAACTTTAGTAAGACCACACCTGGAATATTGCAGCCAATTTTGGTCACCATAGCACAAGAAAGATGTTGAGATAGTGTAAAAAATTCAGAGAAGAGCAACTAAGATGATCAAAGACTAAAACATACGAAGAACGGCTATGGGACTTGGGTATGGCTAGTCTAAAGAAAAGAAGAAATCGGGGAGACATGAAATATTCTATTCTAAGGACTATGGACAAGGTATATTTGGTTAGAGCATCTGGTTTAATGAATAGAATAGAATAGAATAGAATAGAATAGAATAGAATAGAATAGAGTTGGAAGGGACCTGAAGGTCTTTTAGTCCACCCCCTGCTAAGTCAAATGAAGTGATAAGAAGTGATCAAAAGGCGTCCAGTGTACATAGAGATGGAATTGAACTTAGGAACAATTTTACCAGGGACAAACTTTAAAGCTCGTTTATGTTATTCTGTGTAGGACTTTTTCCCATCTGCACACTCCCATGGGACAAACAATTTTTTTTTACTGTCTTTATCTCAGCCTATCTCTATGAATGAGACAGATGTGAGTTGTCCTCAGCAATAGTGGGGTTAAAGTAGTATTTTCTTTTTTATTTCAAATTCTGCAAAGAAAAACTCCAGGGTGTTCACTTGGACATGGCCATCCATTACTTTGGAGAAAGGTCTGGAAGGATCCAATCTGGGACACCTATATTTGCCTTCATTTGCAAAAGTTTGGCAACTGAGCACAACTCTTGACAAAGGTCTTAGAGACAGAAATGGCAGGGACAGTTGAGACAAGAAATGGAGTCCAGGAGAATGTCAATGAAGATTCTCAGTCATCCAATTAGACTTCTCAGGATGTTGAGTCATGGCATCTGGACTTCTTTTCGTTTCGGCTTAAAACCTTTCACTGCTTCTTCATGTCCAAGTGCCATAACTCATCTTCCAGGAGACAGGATTGTCTTCCTGAATCAAGGACGAATGGATAACATATTCCTGGAATTATCACGAAAGGCCCTCAATCTCCACATGAAAACCATTTTGGACCTTCAAAATATTCTGAGTTATTTCTTCCCCAGTACTTTATTTTGAATGTTAGAGGAAGCTGTATTTTCAACACTTGGGTAAAGAGCTGCTAACATTATATAGAAGGGTTACCCTTTTTATTATAATCACTATGTAAATTCAGGGAAGGCTTCCTGTTTAAAAGTCTTTGCCCAAAAATCTCCAGAAAAAGCTACACCCTCTGTCATTTGGAACATTTTGCAGGCAACAACCATATTGCTTCCGCAGAAATGAATAGTAATATTATACTTCTACTGCAGTTAGTTTTCAGCTCATCTCTGTTACCAGGTGATGTTTTCTTCTCTCTCCCTCCCTCCCTCTCTCTCTCTCTCTCTCCCTCCCTCCCTCCCTCCCTCTCTCTCTAGACTGTATGTGCATGCATACACATACAGTCTAAAGATCAATGAATCTAACAATACTTATTGTTTCCCAGATATTAAATGCAGTGGTCAGCTGGAACAATCTGGAAGTTATGTGAAAAGACCCGGAGAGTCCCTCTCTCTTTCCTGCCAAGGCTCTGGATTTAACTTTGGAAGCTCTGGCATGCATTGGGTGAGACAAGCTCCAGGAAAAGGACTGGAATGGATTGCAGTTATTTGGTACGATGCCAGTAAGCAATTCTATGCAGAATCTGTCAAGGGACGCTTCACCATCTCCAGGGACAATGCCAAAAGCCAGCTGTATCTGCAGATGAACAGCCTCAAAGCTGAAGACACTGCAGTCTATTACTGTGCTGGAGACACAGTGAGAAGAAGTGAATCTGAAGCCTACCAAGAACTTTCTCCTCCTTTGAGCAGTTCTCCAAATTGATTCAGTCATAGAAGTTTGGATTTATGCACTCCAACAGAGAAGCAGCCCATAAATTTACATCACAGCAAGTGAAACCAAAATTTGATCTTGAATTAATCTGAAAAGAACCTGATTAGCATTTCTCTGGTGGGAAAGAAATAAATTTCTTGGCAATAGAATGAACCGTGTAGTTTTAATTATACCTTTATTTATATCTCAGGAAGGTATATGGCTCACTGGGAAGCTAAGAATTTTCATAAAATAAATTACCATTGGTGTTTGTCACAGACAAGATGTTGAGGTATTTCAAATATTTCCTTGAAATGAAAACAAAATGAAGGGATTTTATTATCATACTCATCTAACATGCAAAACAGGGAAAACCTCGTAAATACAAATCCGGTTCCATATCCTTGATTAGCCAATGAAGACTGATCACCTTCTAGTGCAGGGCTCTTCAAACTTGGCCCTTTTATGACTTGTGGACTTCAACTCCCAGAATTCCTCCACCCACATGCCTGTCTGAAGAATTCTGGGATTTGAAGTCCACAAATCATAAAAGGGCCACATTTGAAGACCCCTGTTCTAGTGGGATGCTTAGGACCCTTTCCTTCTATTCATCTAAATAGTTTGCTGGAAGAAAATGTAAGATGATGAAATTGGCTTGAAGATTCTAGTTTCATCTTTCCTATCTACAAGGTGATCTATCTTCGGGGGGAAAAAAATAACGTGGAATGGAATATTGTCTTTTAGTATCATGGCAGAAGACTGGAAATGAAACTTTAGGGTGAAACTTCTAAATATCCAAACTGCCATTCACATATGGAGGAAACACCTGCACCAAAAGAATCTCCTTGGAGAACAAGGAACATGCTTCACCTCCTCATTTCTGACACTGGGGGGCAATGTTGCTACATGAAATTCCAATTTCTGTGCACCTGGTGGGGGTGGGGAAGGGAATAGAACAAATATGTATATACACACTCAGGGTTAAGACATATCACATTGAGCAGCTGTGTTTTATAAAATATAAAGCAAAATTATATTGTTTTTAGGAATACAAAATTGTTTGTATTTTTCAATCGGCAGAAAATGTTTTTGGTGACATTTTTATTACAATTGCTATTACTATTATTCTTGCCATTAGTATTGGTATTGTTGTTGTTTCAATGTGTATGGTTGCGCATCTTGGCAAATCAACTCTGAGCAACTAACTAGTGATGAAAACACTACACAAAATGACAAAATAGCAACCACAACAAATATTTATACAATTGTCAAATTAAAACCCAATTTAATAAGCAGAGAATATCCTACAGGCTGAAACCGGCCTTTTTCCATTTCTCCAACTGAGGCCTAACTTATAAGTTGTGCCTTGTGTCTTGACCTATGCAGCATTCTTTTATGTTTTTTTTTCTCAAAAAGACCTATTAAGGGGGGGATGTAAAATCTTTTCTAATCTTAGATGAGCTGTTCTTCTCATGTTCTGTCTCTAACATGTCTCCTTCAAAAATTCTCAGTGCACGTTCATAATCTGTAATCTTGAATCACTTTTCATAGGTGATGACATGTTCCAAGTCTTTGTTTTAATTGTTGTTGTTTTAACCATTTAGTCATGTGCAACTCTTGGCGACTTTATAGAATAGTGCAATTTACTTTATTTTGCATTTTTTTAAATTATTTTAACGTAAAGGTTGCTTTCACTTTTCTTAAAACTGAAAAGTTATGTAAAAATCAACATTGTAGGGTATTGGGCAAGGAAACTATAAGGTGAATTCACTGAGGAACACTTTTATCTCAACCAATATGTAAATCGAGTCACAATTTCCCCTTTAAAGGAACCAGTTGCTTTTCCTTTTAAGGCTACACCCAGAAACACAAAGTTGTGCATTTTACTGAATTCTATCCTATCAGCTCCTCTCAATACTTTACAGGGTGCAAATATGACTCTGTGGCTAAACATGGTATCCCTATTAGCATTCCTCAGAGGTAATTGTTTCCTCTCTAGGTATTCAGTTTTTAATTCTTGTATACTGGAGAGTTTATTTATACACCTTTCTTTTTAGGAGTGCAGTCTCAAATCCAGTTGGTGGAGTCTGGAGGGGATGTGAGAAGACCTGGAGGGTCCATCCGTCTCTCCTGCCAAGCCTCTGGATTCACCTTCAGCAGCTATTACATGGACTGGGTGAGACAGGCTCCAGGAAAAGGACTGGAATGGGTGGCAGAGATCGGTACATCTTCATCTCCAATACGCTACTCGGACGGAGTCAAGGGACGCTTCACCATCTCCAGGGATGATGCCAAAAGCCAGCTGTATCTGCAAATGAACAATCTGAAAGCTGAAGACACAGCAATCTATTATTGTGTGGGAGACACAGTGAGAGGAAGTGAATCTGACGCCAAGCAAGAACCTTCTCATCAGAGCAGCTGTTCAAATTGAGTTCCTTACAGAGAGCTAAATTGGTATAATTGGAGCAGCCAATAAATCTCCATGATGGCAAGTGGAAGTGCAGGACTGGTCTTGGAATAAGCAGTGTGGAACCTAGTTGACAGTTTGGTAGGGAGAAAAGATACAATCTGTGGTCAGTATTTGAAACTGGGTACTTTTTAAAAAGTTTAAATTTATTTAAAGGTAGAAACATGGATTGATGTCCTACAGAATAGAGGAGAATAACAGAGTTGGAAGGGACCTGGGAGGTCTTCTAGTCCAACCCCCTGCTCAGGCAGGAAACCCTACACCATTTCAGACAAATGGTTGTCCAATCTCTTCTTGAAAACATCCAGTGTTGGAGCATTCACAACTTCTGGAGGCAAGTTGTTCCACTGATTACTTGTTCTAACTGTCAACAAGTTTCTCCTTTGTTCTAGGTTGCTTCTCTCTATGATCAGTTTCTATCCATTGCTTCTTCTCTTGCCCTCAGGGGGTTTGGAGAATAGCTTGACTCCCTCTTCTTTGTGCCAACTTCTTGTGGCAATCTCTGGTTACAATTCATCCTTTTTATGTTTTGCAGTTCTGTCCATTTTTTTTTTCAGTATTGATAACTCTCCTCAGTTTAATTCCATTGTATACAGTATGTTACTCCTTTTTTATTTCTTCTACATTTATACATTAATATGTATTCAGTCTCCTTAATCCAAGCTCTATCCCCTCAACTGGGATGATGAGAGGTAAATATTAGACATTGCAAACCTTCCCTCCTAGAAGCTGTCTGAATATTTTGAAGGGTTTCTTGACTTGGGTTATCTCTCACTAACATCTGGGGGTGAGAACAACTGGAATCCCTAAGCACCTTGCTTTCACGGGGAAATAAAAGTGGGGAAATCTGTCTGCCTTGTCTTATAGATCTGCAGCTTTGGGTATGCAGGCAAATAAAATTATCCCCAGAATGTTCACATTGCAAAGCAAGACATACATTAACTCAAATGAAACCCTTTCAGTTGTCCTATGTACTAATAGTTAACCATGTCTCTCTCGATGCAAGTGAAGAAGGAGAGTGCAAAAGTTGGCTTGAAACTCAACATTAAGAAAAGCAAAATCATGGCATCAAGCCCTCTTAATTCCTGGCAAATAGATGGGGAAGAAATGGAGATAGTGACAGATGTTATCTTCCTGTGCTCCAAGATCACTTCAGATGGGGACTGCAGCCAAGAAATTGAAAGACGCTTGCTCCTGGGGAGAAAAGCTATACAAATCTAGACAGGATTCTAAAAAGCAGAGACATCACTCTGCCAACAAAAGTGTATATAGTCAAGGCCATGATTTTCCCAGTTGCAATGTATGGATGTGAAAGTTGGACCATAAGAAAGGCTGAGCGACAAAGAATTGAGGCTTTTGAACTATGGTGCTGGAGAAGACTCCTGCAAGTTCCTTGGACTGCAAGGCATTCAGATCAGTGAGTCCTAGAAGAGATCAACCCCAACTGGTCTTTAGAAGGCCAGTTGAAACTCAAATACTTTGGCCACCTAATGAGAAGGAAGGACTCACTGGAGAAGGGCCTAATGCTGGGAAAGATTGAGGGCAATAGAAGTAGGGGACGACAAAGAATGAGGTGGCTGGATGGAGTCACTGAAGCAGAAGTATGAACTTAAATGGACTCCAGAAGATGGTAGAGGACAGGAAGACCTAGAGGAACATTGTCCATGGGGTCGTGAAGGGTCGGACACGACTTCGCAATTAACAACATATTCTCAAAATTTGTTGTAAAGAAGTCTATAATTTTAATGGAGATAATGACTATTATATTTATTTTGATACAGATATAACAATATTCTATTCTAAGGACTATGTACGCGATATATTTGGTTTGGGTTTCTGGTTTAATGGACAGAACAGAACAGAACAGAACAATAGAATTGGAAGGGACCTGAAGGTCTTCTAGTCCAAGCTCCTGCTAAGTCAAATGAAGTGATAAGAAGTGATCAAAAGACGTCCAGTGTACATAGTGATGGAATTGTACTTAGGAACAATTTTACCAGGGACAAACTTTGAAGCTCGTTTATGTTATTCTATGTAGGACTTTTCCCTATCTGCACACTTCCATGGGACAAACAACCTTTTTTTTTTTTAACTGTCTTCATCTCAGCCTATTTCTGTGAATGAGACAGATGTGAGTTGTCCTCAGCAATAATGGTGTTAAAATAGTATTTTCTTTTTTATTTCAAATTCTGCAAAGGAAAATCCCAGGGTGTTCACTCAGACTTGGCCATCCATTACTTTGGAGAAAAGTCTGGTAGGATCCAATCTTGGACACCTATATTTGCCTTCATTTGCAAAAGTTTGGCACAACTCTTGACGAAGGTCTTAGAGACATAAATGGCTGGGAAAGTTGAGGCAAGAAATGGAGTCCAGGAGATATGTCAATGAAGATTCTCAGTCATCCAGTAAGAGTTGTCAGGATGTTGAGTAATGGCATCTGGACTTCTTTTCTTTTTGACTTAAAACCTTTCACTGCTTCTTCATGTCAAAGTGCTGTGATTCAACTTCCAGGGGACAGGAATATTTTCCTGAGTCAAGGAGAAAT